CATTCCACACATTTTTGCCTCAGTGTCGGCTCATTTTTATCCCCATAGGGCAGTAATGATCCAAACTGACAAATAATCACAATTAAGACAGTAATGGCATGTTCTCTGCCATCAGATAAGCTAAAATTTTCTTGTCGTGTCAGATGGCCATCAGCAGCACTGCTTAATAGGAGAACTCACCTTCAAGATAAAGAATGCTGCTCTCTTCGAGCATTAAAACATCCAACTTTAAAAGGTCTACCGTACTCATCTCACTCACGGGTCATGCAACCTCCAGGAGGCGGATCAGGTATCCACTGCCTTCTGTGGTGGTCGCACTGAAGCACCAATCGGTTCTTCAGGGGCTCAAAGTCACTCAAGTGGAGCGAGGTGCTAGTGGCTGCAACAGTGGAGAAAGGAAAGACAAACCGATCGGGCAGACAGCCAATCTCGGCGACGGCCACTGTGGCTCCCGTGGCATCAGTGTGGGTGTGCAGCGCATAGCCCAAATGACCTCCAACCTCTAGGACATCGGGTAGCGGGGGGCAATAGAGCACTAAAGAGTGGAGAGCAAAGCGAAATGAAAGTCAATTGTTATGCTTGAAAAACACTCCTTGGGCCCAGAAAAAATGTCAACTAACAGAGAATCTCTTCGTTGATTATAAGCTTGAAACAATCCCTTTTTGATTTATTTCTTTTCAAAGAATTCTGCCAATATCAAGGCCATTCTCGATTTCATTGAAAATTATTTATGCACCTATTGAGAAGGACCTTTCAATGCAGATTTATGTCACAAGGTCCCGAATGAATCACACCATTCATTATTTGAAAGCTTTTGTTCTTTTTAGGGAGGATTCAATGCATATGCAGGTCAACTTTTGGAAGCTTGAAGGCTCCAATTAAAAGTTTATGTTCATGAAGCTCACCCAATCCGTGGAATTTCATCTGGTGCTGCAATGTTTTGTTATTCAACACCTTAAAGAACTCAAGCCCTTCACTCTTAAGAGGGCTTCGGCTCTGCTTGAGAAAAAGACTCCTCTAATAGGAATTAACGCCCATCACTGCACTGTTTGCCAATTTACTTATTTATTTGATGGGAAAGGCAACTTTTTGAGAAGAAATTCCGGATGTGGGTGTATGCTAGTTGTCACGGCAGTCATTAAGATATAATAATAGTTATTTTTATAGTTGTTCTTTTTTAACTTTCCATAGTGGTGAAATTGGTCTCATATTTTACCGTACTTTTTTATTAACTAGGTACCTGTATGTTGTGAATCCCCGTTTCACACTGTTTTGTTAGTAATCAACGAAGAGAAAACCATAAATTAAAATTTTATGATTTAGTACGACAAAGCGACTTTTGATTGACGTGATGCCACTTCAATGTGCAGAAGTGAGAGTCTTCATTGCACAAAACTTGTGCATTTGGTGTTGTTATTACCACTGGAGGCGGTTTTGTGGCTTTAAAAAACTTCAATCCGGATGTAAGCCAATTATTAGCATATTTAAGAATTTACTTAGTCACAGGTCACTACTCAACGACTCATTCATTTGATTGCTCCAAACAGGATCAAAAAGGACTTTAACCTTCGGCAACTATCTCAGTTCCATGTTTTGCAGAAATACCATTGACAACTAGAGCGGCACTAGCCGCGAACCATCTAGAAAAGTTGGTTACGGAGATGTCTACAGTATTTGCACAAACTTGTCAAATAAATAGACACACGGTACTTCCTCCTCCTCTCTACCATCTGAATAGAACCCAGATAGATAACATGTCTGGTAGGGAGGTGTATATAAGAAACCCCTTTCGTTTGTCAAATAAAATCTGCTTTTAGACCAGAGTTCTTACAGCTAGCAATAGGCATACGAGATGGCCTCCTTGTAGTGCATCACCTAGTCTCCGAGAGTAGGAGGACAGCGCATCCCCCTTTCTCAATACATCTCCTAAACAGGACAAAACTCCAGATCCAGTAGAATTGCCAAGATGCATTAGTGACGCTGGGATCAAAGATCTTCTCAGTTGCATGCAAATTTGTTGACAAGCGTGGCTGGTTTGTGTTGGCCGTCTCGTGAGGTTGACCAAGGGGAGCGTCGGAACGACGCTTAAAAATAAGAAGGGAGGTACGTGATGCCTTGTTAGTTTGTTTAGCCCTGTGTTTGATTAAACGGTCTATTAAGCCTCCACGGTTTGTGTACCTCCTCTGCAGCATGTTAGCAAGTATCCAACTCTTTTGTACGTTGGTAATGCATGAGCCTCCACAGTATTTCGATTTGCTACGAGTTCAGGCACGACTTGACGCGCTGCAGAAGGCGATATGTCTATTAAAATTAAAGAATCGACTTGCTATTATTGGGCCAAATACATAAATAAATCTGTCATGCAGTGGAAAAACCTGAACCATTTAATCTTGGTAGCCTCTATCTGATTGAAAAATAATTCCTTTTCCATATAAGTGGGATACGCTTATTTTCCGTTTGCATTTTTAGGTTTTATTTACTAAATGCCCAATTTGTATCCCTACGCAACAATTGCATACGCAATCGAATGCCATATTAATGATTGATATTGCAATTTAACGCACCAAGCACCGTACTCATTCATTATGTAGGGGTTATCAACTTCCCCCTTTTGGCTGCCTAGTATTCACTGGGTGACTCCAAAGATATTTTAGTAAAAGGGTTTGAAGTCTAACATCAAATATTTTGTTTAGTTCGGATTCTTTCTTTAACATTAAAACATTTCTAAGTAATCCCCTTGACTTTCATTTAAACTGTCTTCGTATTTTGAGAGGTTTGTTCGCACAGTATCTTTATGAAAAGTTTGCTACAATTTACCTATTTAAAGCCCTGATTAAAAAGGAAATTGGGAAAGCTAGCTTTAAAGGCGAAATAAGCTTGTTTGTTTAAATTGATTAACAGGGCTAGAAACTTAGATTGCTTAAATCGATATTTGCATTATCGATCAATAATTTGTGCCAGATGCTTAATGTCTATCACCTCTAGGAACGTGCCCTTGTAATTTATTACGAGAAGTATCATTCGGGGATGCGGATGACTGATGAGACCCGCACTAAATAATTTACACAAAAGAGGTAAAAGTGGCATTTCCTTTCGCTGAGCTCTGTAAGGAGGGTATGTCTCCCTCAGTAGAACAAACACATCTTTGTCAATATGTGTGCTCTTAACAATGGGAGTGAAGATCTCTCTCGTGGGATCATCTTATATGAGCAGATTAAAAAACTAGGAACTGGCATTACCGATGTTGGTGATAAGCAATCCTCCAGACATCTGATCATAAAAGGTAAATTCCTTTTTTGATATCACATGAAATTTATTTAATCAGCAGAGTTACAATTTCTTTCTAAAAAGAAGAAGTCCATATTTATTTGTTTAAAAAGTTCCACTGGATATGCCTTTATAACAAAAGAGGAGTCTAATTTAATCAGATTTACCGAGTTTACCAAGCGGTAGAATGAGTCGTCCAAATCCTCAAAGATAGGCTTTTGATTAGAAGTAGAAATTTTATACTGAATAGTTCAACAATATGGTAATATTTTGCTTGAATTCTTAGGTGCAGAGCCGATTCATTGGACTAAGCATTGGTTCCTCTTGATATCAAGATGCATATTCCCAACCACCTTAATACATTATTTCGGATCTTGTTCACTTATCCCATTATGACACAATTAAAAGTGGTTAACGTTAGATTTGAATGCCCAACAGATGACAAGATATTTGGAAAAAACTCACGTATATACTCAAACAGTAAGCCCTTGACCCATCCGTGACGCATTATTGATGTGGCATTGCCTCCACTCGTATGATCCACCGCGCCTCCTAGCTGCAAATTCACTTCAAAGTCAATGGAGGTGAAGTTGTATGCTGGTCCAAAGACCAGGACTGAAGTGCCAGGGACAGCTGAGGCAAATCCATAGTAGGTTTCGTCCTCATCTTCAACCTTCTCTGGCTGTTGAAGGTATTCATTAGTAATGAGAGCACCCCAGCCATCCGAGCTGGCGTAGGGACAGACCTCGAGACGCAGACGGTGTTGCGTGGCTGTGGTGGTGACATCCATTCGAAGGTAGTCGGAGAGACAGGGAGTACCAACGGATCTAGAAGGGCAGTGAAAGGCTGGAGGAGGCGGAAGGAGACCTCCTTTGGAGACCGGCTTTTGTGGGGAGTAAGAATCTCCTAACGGTACATCAAAATCGTCTTCAGAAGCTGGAATGGAAAAGAAAAAAAATACCGATTTTTAAAAAATGAAATTAGAAGTGCTTCCAGAAAAGGTGTACCATAAATAGGAGCATCATTTAATTCGTTTTGAAACAGAGAGTAATTAATTTGAGAACTGGTTTAACATCGGCGTCATTCCTTCTGTCATTCTGATCTTGTGAAGCTTTCTATCAGCAATTTTACCTCGAGAACTCAGAAATATGTGAAGAAGAAGGATGGGAACTATCACTTTTCGCTGTTCTTGTACAGCTGCACCATTCAAACGTATTGCTGTTGAGCGTGTTTTTGGTGTACAACTACGGATAGAGCCTTCTATACAAGTTCCACGACTCATTTTCATGCGTTGTTCTAAGCATGCACCAACATTGTGACCTTTCAAATTGATTGACAATATCATGATCGACCCACTGTGGGTAAGAGACTCGCCTCTCACTTACTACCGCTACAATTTAACCTCTTGGGAGAAGATCAAGTACCTAAATTCATGATCTTTTGATGTATGAACCTCCCCAAACTTCAGTCATATGCCACCTGCGTTGTTCCAGGATCCCAACACCACAAACAAAACTGTTTATTAACCACTTTGTACCGTCCAACCTATTATAAGGTAACTAGGGTGTTAAAGCAGCAGTTCTGAACCGCCACCGCATTAATTTGACCCTAAAAGAGCCACTGAATCATAAATGCCAGTCATTTAAATTTGAATGACTAGCCGAAGTGATGGGTACTTTCAACGTAAACAGGCACGTACACCTCCGCATCAACAACGTGCAGTGGGCCGTCGATCTTTTAAAAGTGTGGGCTTTTTAAGGGGAAAGTGATGCACAGGGAGTCGCAAAGTACTCCTCACTTTCCTAATTTAGAAGTGTGCTTTTGTTTGATGTTCTCAGTTTGACAGTCAGACAAAGGGTTTTGTTTTTAAAAGTGCTCTTTGCTGCAAAGGGCAAAAATGGATACTGGGAGTTAACAAGGGGAATGAGCTGGAACATTACGTTTATACGCATTCCGGAGACCGTTTCTATCAAATTTGGACGGAGTAGACGGCTCCTGATTCCTTTTCATCTCACTTAATCAAATTTTATCATCCAAAGGAATGTACAATGATAATTTCACGGAAATGGGGTTAGCTTTAGCTCTAATTTCGCTAATATAGCCGAAGCTTTTAAAAAAAATGAATGATTGATACTATTAAACGTCAACTTTAGCAAAAATTGACAATATCGCTTCCTGGATCTGTACCTTCCAAGACCTCTCCAACGCAAAAATGTTCTTTACTCGCTCTGCCGATTTTGTACGCGGGAGCTTAGCAGTCACTCAATCGGTTGAAGTGATCACTTCGTAAACAAACAGTTTTAGGCAAATTTTTTTAAGTCTAACGAAGAGAATAGAAAAAGCTGTTGCCTCGAAAATCACCGATCCACCTGCCCATCACCCTTGTTGCGGCTCGAAGTGGTGTAGGCTACCAATAAAGCTGTGAATGATGAAAGGCGCTTCATAATTTGATTAAAAGTGGAAAAAAACAACCTCTTTCCAATAATTTAGTGCTAACTTTACATAGAATTGCCTTTTTAAGAAATCACAAGGAAGATTTCGGATTCCTGCTTTGAAAGTAGTGGTATCGTGATTTAAACCATCAATTTTTTTTCTCCAAAAAGGGATACTAAACACCCTTCTAGATTTGAGTAGTTGGACACGGTCAAACAAAACCCAACATCTATCTGAGCTGCGGTTCGGGTGGTAAAGAAGGACTGAGCTCATGTGTGACGCATTCAAAGCACCTTAAAAGGAAGAGACCATTCAATCCAGCAGCATAGTTTTAGCCATCAACATGGGTGAGGGAGGAGAAAAAGGTGAGCCATTGCAGACTACCCATTGTAATTTGAGTGGGTGGGGGAAAAAAAGGAGAGGAGGGATTACGGCGAGGGGGGGGCAGGGTTAATTTACCGCGGATTGAGAATTAATGGCGCGTAGAGATAGGCAAGGTAGGGGAACCGGTAATTGTGATCAGGGAACAATAGGAAACAAAGGGCAAAATAGTTGAATTCTGCAGTGACCACTAGGAATTCATTTTAGGTCTGTTTTCAAATAAATAGGAAAACTCGACCCGATTTTGTGCCGTTTTATCACATAAGCAGTTCATCATGGCTTCAGAGAGAAGTTACGTCTTGATGGACGGTGGTGAAACTTCAAATACGCCACGCGCCACGTGAAGCACTATATCCATGGATGGGAAGATAAGACTGATGGATAAATGGATGGATGGAAGGCTAGACAAGTTGATAGATGCGCAGATAGGTAGCTAGGTGAGTAGATTGAAGAACGGCAAGATAAGTAGATAGAGATGGATAGGTAGGTAGATAAACAATGGACAGGCGGATGCGTTCCACGGCACTAGGAGCCAGGCGAGCGAACTCCCGAAGGGAAGTCGCTTACTCACAAATATGCTTCCTATGGTTATGTCTCTAATTTGTACGATGGTAGAATGACCTAGACAAAGTGGAATATTTGTCAACAGAAAACTGTTGATTAGTCAAATTTAGTGTCACACTCACTATTTCATAAAACCTTACCAATTTGCGCCTAGATCAGTCCAAGCCGACTCTTCGACGCGGCTTACAAACTGGACGCAACACAAAATGCGTGGTTATCATTAAGTATGAGTCTTTACCCCGTCATAAAAGAATCACCGAACTGCCTTCGTTTTTGCTACAAAGACTTGCGGTGGCAGAAGCAGGAGATTGACCACAAAAAGTGCAGAGAAAGCCGCTTTAAAAGAAAGGAGGCATGATGCTCAATTACTGCAGCCTTCCCACCCCCTACCTCAAACCGAGACACTTGTAGCCCCAGACACCTTTATTACAAGACATCCAGCCCCCCTTGCGCTCTCCACGTCGTCGTTTAACTAAGTGAAACCAACACCTTCCACTAAGTAGTACGCTTTCCCTCCAATGATTATGATGAATGGGTAAAACGACAAAAAAACACCACTTTCTTAATCATGCGCTTGTTTTCCGGATGATTACGCACTGGCTTACTCTACGGCATTGTTTTACATTTTTGTTTTGAAACCCATTAATTCACTGTCTCATCTCAGCATAAAGAGTCATCCAAATTTGGCAGGAAATATCTTCGTAAATTTACATGCGCATTTTCATCGTACGATGCCTGAAATCGACGTTTTTTTAGGCAACTGAGAAAGAGTGGTGCACATTTCTGACGAAATATACCCAGAACTATATCAAAACATTGTACTTTGAAACGGTAAAAAGTGAGGACAAAGAAGCTGTTATTTTTATGCAAAGATCATATTCAATTTGATTTCGCTCAACCATATTTTTTTCTTTTCAAGGCGATCTCGGTGACACGAGAAAGAGCAGAGGGTTTAAGAGGTTATCGAGTTTTCGGGGGAAGATGGGGATTGTGGTGCACTGCCAACTCCCACCCTCCCCTCCCCTCCCCACCAATTCGACTCACATGCTTCAGTAAACAGTGTGGAGGTACACAAAACAGACCCCTCTATTATGATTTCAGTGGTGCTTTGCTTACACTAATTGCGGCTTTGGGTAGAGGAGGCACCTACTTTGCGCCCTTTTATGAGTGTGAGAATGGCGTTTGTTGATTTCAAGATGAGAGACACTTTGAGGAAAATCGACCCTGCAATCAACACTTTATTGCTCAAATGTCACACAAATTGTTGCTAATTGCTTTGTTTAATTCAACTGTTCTCGAAAACAAGAAAAATGCAATTATTACAGACCGCAAATTCAATCAATTTGTTGGTGAAGAGAATGTGTCTCACATTTGTGACGCCAAGTTCTGCCTAGAAAATGGGAGCATACCATGTGTGTGTGTGTGTGACACTAGCACAGAGTGATACTCCACCTAGAGGTCTCAAAATACTTGAACGTAACAATCACTATATGGTGCAAGTGAGTGGGTCTATTAGTGACCCTCCGTGAATCGACTTCCACAACAACTGGTATGGAGCATCGTCCAGGTTACTATCTTCTTAGCTAGCCTTCCAGTTCAATTACGTGTTGATAATAGACCGACTTCCAGATTGGTAATATCAAATGACATCTTTGAAGATGACTCGAGGACCAAAGTCAACCTCATAGAAAGAGTAGAGTAAGCTTCACCTATGCGCCGAAGAAGAGTTGCCTAAGCGGGCCAACTGTACAGCTGGATGCATGAAAGCACACAAAAAAGGTTGACTTGGCATCAGAGCTAACGTAGTGGTTCAAATAAACCACACAAATACCTGTTTGTACTTTTTTTCACACTATTATACAACGAGATCAGGCACTAGCTCAGACAGAGAGCTTGACAATGGAATAAAAAAGTAGGATGGAATCAGGTCAGACTTTCAAGAAACGAAATCGGTGCTGCATTTATGCAGATATTTCTGCTAGCATTGACAATGTACTCGCTGCTGAACAACTTTCATTGCTAAACCATACCTCCAAAAAGAGGACTGTCCAATGTATATTACTAAAAATGTTATAAACATAAAACTTATTTAATCGCGTAAGGTGCCGGAACTTGGAAGTTTTCCAGTTTGACGAGGATCGGTGCAGAAGAGTCAGCAGTGGAAATGGCGAGGAGGGCACTCAGTCCAAAAAGAAATCAAGATCATGTCACAGAATGACATTTGTTTTTAATTGTGTGAACCTTAGCACTTGTTGAGCCTATATGTCGGTGGTATATATACCCCTACACGTCAATTAGTGACGCTACTTCCAGACTTGTGCACCTTTTGATGCCTATGGGGCTGACGCGGGTGTCATGAATTACCATCGTAAGTTGTCATTTTAGAATTTTGGCTATTTAGGTAATTGGTGTTTAAGAGAGTACCCCGGGAGCATTGATGTGTGGGAAACTTTCAAGTCAAGTGGGGACCTACAATTCTACGCGTGGTACAAAAGGAGTGGTAACAAGTCCTCCCCTCCCTATTACTAATGGCTGAACCACACGTCGCGCGTGACCCGGTCAGATCCAGATTACATTAGTTGCAGTAGCAAACAGTACGTAAATATGCTTCTGACAATCCGTAGCGGGCGTCAAAGCTTCTTTTGAACCAAAACCGCCGAAAATCTAATCCCGTCTGAAGAAGACTTCAAACGGTGTGATAAGGTGATGGGAAGCCGACCAACCGCAGTGGGACATTTGAAGGCCGTAAACGCTGCACTGATGACCATAGACTCATCAACGATAACCTCACCCGTGTTGGTTCCCAGCCTCGGCAAGCATTCCAGAAAATACTCAGCCATTGTAAGGAATGCCAAATCTTAGGTCTCCGGTCAATGTATGAATTAACACGGAGTCACATGAGAGACGAATCCTTCTGTGGAAATGGTGAATACAATCGGTCCTGGATACGAAAGGCCAAGCTTTCTAAATAGTGATTCAACGTTAGGAAAAAAGTTTCATTGTTCTGGATCAAAAAGTTGCGATTTGATTAAAACTCCTCCTAAGACACTCTTCTCTCGACCAAAATCACTGCAGTAGTACCCTTGAACCCTTAAAAAGGCGCAATCCTCTACTCCTCGAGACATAATTCCTTTTCCAGTAAAGCACAAGAATGTTGTTGCAGGCCCGTTAGTTTACCTAAACTTTTTCGCTTCCTTCTGTTTCAGACCAGTCAAGCGTGAAAGTGAAAGTGTCAATGTGACATAATAAAGATTCATTAGTGGAATTAAAACATTACTTGACCCAACATGTGATACGGATTCTGGCGTTTGGAGCGGATTAAAGAAGACGTGAAGGCAAGAGACCGGGGTTAGTAGGTCTGATGCTGGTAAGGAAGGTGCTAAGGTGTTTGTGTGAAAGATTGTGTCACTAATTACCAAGCAAAATCGTTTCCAAATATATCACAGCAAAGGTAATCTACTCCTGTACCCTTCTAAGTCCATCAACAATTATGCCGTCAATGGATTGAGTTTTTAAAAAACCACTGTTAAACCATTTATTTACTTGAAAGTCAATTGATTCATTAGAAAAGAGAACATAAAACACAGCTGAAACTTCTGCATTTGTGTGACTAAAGTACCGGAGTTGAGCAACTTGCAATTAGGTTTCACCTCAAATAAGTTTGAAATCAATCTCTATGTAGATCTAGGCAAAAAATTCAAATGCAGATTAAAGTGAAATGCTAAAAATTCAGTACGTAAAAAATGTAGGCAACTACCCACCCTTCTCCAACGGAAATGAATCAACGGCACTCCTAATTTTGCCATAAATCAGAGATCAGTCACACACTCAAAATAAACATCTAATTAGTTAACTTATTGTGGTTTTGCAATTAAGATTAGTATATGTAAAGAATTGCATTAATTACACTCAAAAATTTGATGAGTTTCTTAGCAAGATAAGCTCAAATTTCACATCAACTTCTTGTTTGAATGAATCAACGCTTTCATTGACCGCGCTTACTGGCGCGAAGGAGGAGAAGGGAGGGAAGGAGACGACACGATAGTTGCTTTCGCCTTGCACTTGGCGGTCGATAATTATCGATTGGGTTTTCTCTTACAACTGTTTCACACCATCATACGCGTGCTTCGTGCGACTGTTGATTGCGCGTCTTCGTGGATGGAGATTGAAAAAATGCACCGGTTTTTGGGGTCGAGTTTCTCTTCTACGTGAGCAAACCGATACCGATGTGTGTGTGCTGAGAAAAAGGCGAAGAAAATGATGGTCGCTCCTGTTGTTCTTCCAAACTGGATTGCGGGTGTGTTGGTGAGTGCACTCGGCTGTGTGTGTGTGTGTGTGTGTGTGTGTGTGTGCAAACTGCTCGATTCACAAGTTCCTGTCCTCAAAATAGGCTCACCAGTCTTGCGCACATCACACTTTTTCACTCATTTATGTTAAAAAGAGAAATCTCGTCTCACGTTTGTAGTCTGCTCTCAATTCTCACCGCTACTTCTGAAATTACATTTCGTGGCTTAGTGAATTGAAATTCAGCGTAAAAAACGAGTACCTCTTCCTAAGCATGTATCACAGCACTGTTGACAAGGTGATCAAACTACAAATGGTGCTATAAATTACCTTCCTCAGGGAAGAGGTGCCTCAAGGTACGTTCTCTTAAAGATAAATTGCCGATCTTTAGCTACAATATATGATGTTTACTCCACAGAAGAGTTGGAAAAGTCAAACTTTATTGATAGGGCGTGCAACGCAATCCCCAATCTCAGGCAAATAAGTAAATTACTCGTGAGAAAACCAGATGAATTTCGTCGACGTGTTGCAATGACTTGACGTCGCCATGAATCAGTGCTACCGATACCCTCTGATTCTTAAATGAACCTCCTTTTTTGAGTAAAGGCTTCACTTTCTCTAGTTTTGAATAGAAATCACTACTTAACCCGAACGTGAGAATACCAGTACCATTCAGGTCGAGTGATTCATTCTAAATGGGCTTGAATTTAAGGTCTCCTTTCCATGAGAAGTCTGGAGTCTCCTCCAAATTCGAGGTTTATGGCTTCAAGAAGTGGCATCACGTTTGTTGATTCCCACAAATGTGAGTTTAGTAAAATCTAGGGCCACTGAAATGGGACATTTCAGTCAATCTATGATAAAACCCTTAACCTGGTATGGGAAGTCTCGAGGGCAGATCAACTACCACGTTCAGGCACCTTATTGTTCCGATATGACACCATATGTCAGTGATTGGTTTGATTGGTTCAACTACTATTCACAATACCTTCAAACTCAACTGACCTGCGTGAGACAAGATCTGATGTCAACAATGCATTGTGTGGAATGTGTAGTCTTGGTTGCGGAAATTGGGACGTCACACATAGGGGACACAGGTTGGTGACAATAAAAATGGGATCTTACAAAAAGTCTACCAAAAGACTTGTTTGTATGAAATGCATATGAAAGCCAAAAGTGACTGTTTATGTTTAAAGAGAGACCCACATGACGAGTTGGAAGGAGGCTAATGCTTAAGACGTCAACCCCTTGAAGAAATTACTGCGTTTTGTTGTTACTGAATTGGTATGTGTGTGCGCGTGCTGATTGCACAATGTGCTCTTGGCAGGTAAAATTACATGCGCGCACACATCTGAGGCGACTTTTGAATGACAGTTAAAATCATGATGTAGGAGGAATGAATCATGCAATTACATTCCAATGGCAATTTTGCCACAGTAAAGCCAAGTTTCAGTTTCATATCAAAATCGGACGCCAGATTTTTCACTTTAGTGGAAAATGAACTGCTTAAAAGTAGAGCATCTAGGCGCCGTTAATTACAAACCCTTATTGATTAGGATTTAAAAGCATTGAACCAGATTTGTTATTAATGCACGAAGCTGGACTGCACTGCATAGCATCCTGACCTCAATAATTGTATTCCCACACACATTACAAAGCTCAGGATCAACTCATTCCGCAGAAATAGACGGCATAAGAACTTACTGCTCAGAGGTCTATAGAGTTCACCAATGTCCCTGAGTTTGATAACTATCCCAAGACCCCCTTGGGGAGCTGGAATTGAAATGACACTGGGTAAATTCCACTGAGTACAATACTCCTCCGATAAGTCCGTCTTCCATTCTGGAGTCTTGACCGATAATTGATAGTCGTGTGTAGCTAGAAAACCACCAACGTGATCTGCATCCAAGCTCCTGACATCCTGTATCGATGATAACAGAGCTGAAAAGCAGAATACGAAAATTAGATTTAATGAAAGTGACGCAGAGTATTAAAGCACTTACTTGAGATAATACACAGATATTGCACAAACAGACGAGGAGCTGTAAGTTCAACGACACCCGCACATTTGTATCTCAGCGACTTCGATGAAAGATCGTGCGAATATTGAACTTTGGATTGACAGAAATGATGACCCGTACATATAGCTGAGACAAAATATGTAGAATCCACCCAACATTCAGCAGTTGATTGTGCACTACATTTGTCGCTTGTGCCGAAGACGCCAAATGCAGCAAAATTAACAAGAATGAAACTGTCCTCGCTGCAGCCTATTGACAAAGTCTCGCCATAGCACGTTGTTATTGACTCTAACGCATGTATAACTAAAATATCTGAACAGTACCAGCATGAACAAGTTGAGATAATAACAAAAGGCTCTGAATGAATATTAAAGGAGCTACATGCCTGCGCATACTTAAAACCTCGTTAAATTATTACAGTCCATCCCAAGGTCAAATTCGTAAGTGTGCTCAAGTGTTACGAATTGTTGCAAGAACTAAAACAAAGCTTCGCAAAGCCACCAAATTGCGATAGTATTACTGACTTAAAAAGACAATTAAATTTTTACAGCAAAAACAAAGGCCTAATCATAATGAGTTTGCTTTGAACGCAAGCAGCATTTTAACACAACGAATTTAAGCCTACTACTTCTGCGCTCTATGCTACAAGGTTTCCTAAAAAATTGTTTGCAATTTTTTAAAAGAGCATTTGTTTTGTGGCTTTTTGGTTTCCTAGAAGAGCTTTGGATCAGTGGTATATTTGCCTAAGCAAAATATTCTTTAATTTCTTGGCATAGGCTTCATCAGAAGCTCCATATTCTGGATGCACCCTTTTTCATTTTGCCAGATTTTATTACATTTGCTATTTTTGATAATTATTAGGAGAACGGTGTACCATACGCCTTTTTAAAGTGCGCTAATTCTGATTCGAACATTTCCATTGGACCATTCTTGGTGCCAAGCGTTTTACCATGGCAGGCAAGATTATACCTTACGTGAGTGGTTTCCTAAGCCTTCTTCGTTGGATTTTTCATCTCGGATATATGCCCTTTGTGATCTATATGGGAATGACAAATGAAGGCTTTCCGCTGGAGCAACCTATCTCCCTTATGAGTGTTCTCTTGCCTTTCGCAGTTCCTCAATAGATCATTTACTCTCTTTAAGTTCTCTTTTTTACAGTGGAGGTTTTTTATCTCTCGAGCATTCCTATTGTGTCTTAGGCTAGTTATTTTTGTACTGGTTGCTTGTCGTTCTTCATATTAATTAAGTGGGGGCACTTAATTGTTCGCTCTCCTGTTCTATTTCCTCTTATGTTTCAAGACTCTATTGGTATTTCTGTTCGGCTATTGCACCTGGGATTCCTACTATTTCAATCGAAATCATACCCTGAGGACTCCCTGCACGTTACCAGCCATGTCGCTCTGTCTGTTATCTCGTTGCAAACTTTGGTCCCGCATTGGTGTCGGTTATTTCCCCTACTGAGTTCCGTTCCTAAACCGATCGTAATTCTTAACACGCTAGAAACCTCCTGTCAGATTCCTTCCTGAGCTCTCGCTATTTCGACTTCAAATGCCCCGAGCTGGAACAACGCAGTTTTATTTAAGTTCCGTCTGACCTTTCAGGAAGGCAATTTGTGTAATACCTTTCCACCGCAAAGAAAACAAAGTAAATAGGTTTTTGAGATAGTGTAGATTAGAATAGCCGATATTTGACGCACATAGGAGTGGGGTTTGTCAACAGTCACGCATTCAGCCCTTACCGGCCGTCCCGAGGCTTGTGGCCTCAGGACTGAATGAGTTCAGCAGGAATGTTCCTATGGAGCTACTACGTACAAGCAATTCCGCGGGCGTGTCTCCGGACGCGTTTCGATACTTCCAAACCTTTTCAAATTTCTCTGGGTCAGCGGAGAGTTGTGCAAGGAGGTATATTAAAGTCTCTGCTGTCTGGTTGTTGGCCAAGGTGAGGTGCAGGACGGTCTGTCCACTGCTTGTTACTGTCAACAAAATTAGGGGATTGATTGGGATGTGAAAGTCGCTGTTCAGTCATTTAGCTACCAGAACAAGTTCCACGGGCGTTCACCAATTATATTGAACGGAACGAGACTTCCGTGGATTGGAGACAGCTTGCTGAGCCAACGAAGGATAAGACACATGGAAAATCTGTGATCGTAAGGATCGCCACGGTGACTGCTGATAATTAACTTGCTGGAGAATTTAAGCCAGCACGTATTCTTCTAGGGCCCCACTAAGGGGGGTACTCGAGATTGGGTCCCTGCCTCTACCCAAGAGGCGCGGGCATCATGAATGGTGTTTTTTTCTCAAACAGGTGCAGTCTTTGTCTTCGTCAACAACTTATAGCACTAATCGAATTAGGGGACTTGAAACAAAAAAAATTGGTAGGTAGCAAGGTATAGGAGTGTGCCCGGGAGATGCAACTGGTAGAGCCCGCAGGAACCTTACAAAAGTGAACTTTGACAATATATTTCCGGATCTGGTCCCATGATATTGTAGAAGTAGGTTAATCATCTTCAGGCTGACAGAAGCGCTGACGGTCGGTAGGAGAATTCGTACACGATCTTAAAGAGCGATCAGCTACTGGTGGACTGATTAATGCAAGCTTTTTTCCTAAAACTACGATGGGGTGTAGAGCCATCTAAAGATGAAACTGGTAATGGATGGTGGGTCTCGTGGTTAGCCTCTTGGCAGTACCTGCAACAGGCCCTTTTTCATCGGTGGGAGGTAAAGTGCAGACGTACTTTGAAGTAGCGGCAACGAGAACGGGACTGTTGAAAAATGGATGTAAGTTAGTAATGCCAATTCAACCAGCGTGAATCACGCAGCCTACGAGAGGCGGCCCCAGTTATTCCTTGGGCGGCGCACAAGGCATGAGATCACATTCAGGAGAAATCGTAGCTCAAAATCCAGGGAGGCTGACTCTGTTGAGT